AATGGAACAAGAATCACTTAATTTCAACACTCCTAGGCTGAGATATAGTCAAAATACCGAACAGTGGTCGAAATGAGCGAAAATTGCAATGCATTGATCTTTTGCTCCTCTTTTGTTTTGGTTTGCCCAAATGACCAACACCATTGAAAACACCACTCTTAGGCTCCTTTTGAAGTGTTTTAGCCATCCTCTTAGCTTCTCCTTGGCTCCCATTGACTTCTAATGCATCCAAAACGCTCCATTTGACTCCAATGTCCACCAAAATGCCTGAAAATACTCAACTTTGCTTCCAATGCTTTTCAAACCAAACTCCTTGCAAAATAACACAATTTAGTCCTAATCTCATGAAATTTGGAAGAATATATGAGCAAAATGGCCTAGTGAAAGGGGAGAAAATATAGACAATTAAGCACTTATCAGTTAGTACGAAGCCCGCCAGCTTCTCTTTTAAGTATGCTGGCAATGCATTTTCAAGACATTCCCACTTCCATCCCCTCATCTCATCCCAGTAGTCCCTAACATTTGCATAGAGGTCCGGGAGCGCTAGCGAAATACGTAAGCTTTCATAAAAGGGCTCGGTTGTTATCCATTTATCCATCCAAAACCGTGTATTGTTTCCACTCCGAACTATACTAGTTAACCCCGCCTCCATATTCTCCCGAGCCGCTGAAATGCCTCGCCAAGCATTTGAGACTTTCTTCCTTCCCGTAATGCCACCTTGTGTCTCCCCTTGTCTTCCGTTTTTCGCACTAAGAGTTTGGGCCCAAAGGCTGTGTAGTCCCGTCTTGAGCCGCCATCCTAGCTTTTCCATGTAATACATATTCTTCTCGTGAAGGCGTTTTACGCTAAAGCCACCAGCTTCCTTCCATGTTGTGACCAGCTCCCAGTTCACTAGGTTCATTTTGGTATCTGTTTTGTTGCCATCCCAAATAAAACATCTAGTTTTCTTCTCGATCTCTGAACATATACCTTTAGGTAATGCCACGGTCTGCATAGTGTAGACTGGGATTGCATTAAGAACCGATTTGGCCAAGACTACTCGGCCTTCTAAAGAAAGGTTCTTAGCTTTCCAACCCTCAAGGCGACTCGTGATTCTGTCCATCAAATCAGAGAAAGAGTTGCTGGTTACCCTGCCATGTAGAGCTGGGACTCCCAGGTATTTCCCCAAGTCTGTGGTTCTAGCAATATTTAACCAGCTTGCAATATCATCCGCTAGTCCTTGATCCATATTCTTCGAAAAGAAAACCTGAGAATTTCCCAGGCTTATCTTCTGTCCTGAGGCCTTACAAAAACACTCCAGACAGTCTTTAACCACCTCCACGTGATCTTGGGTTGCTTCCGTAAAGAGGATCATGTCATCTGCAAAACAAAGATGGGTTAGAACAGGACCATTAGGCGCAGGCATTATACCTTTCCATATCTGGTTATCCGCCTTGGATACAATGAGCTGGCAGAGCCTTTCCATGCACAAGGCGAAAATGGCCGGTGACATTGCGTTTCCTTGCCTTATTCCCCGTCCTGGTCTGAAAGGATCCAACCGTTCCCCGTTCCAAATCACCGATAGTCTTGAGGTACGAATACAAGTCATCATGAGGTCTTTTAAACCTGCGGTGAACCCCGCTTGCTCCAAAGTATCCTGAATGAAGTGCCAAGACAAGCGATCGTAGGCTTTTTCGAGGTCCAGTTTGATTGCCATAAGCCCATTTGCGCCTCGTTTTTCTCGCATGGTGTGCATGACTTCTTGGAAAATAAGGACATTATCTATAATCTGACGGCCTGGGACAAAAGAACTCTGAAACGGTCCCCCGATCTTCGGCAGAATGACCTTAAGCCTGTTGGTAATAGTCTTCGTGATGAGCTTATAGCTTACATTGCACAGGCTGATGGGCCTGAACTGTTTGATGCTCTCAGGGGCTCTGACTTTGGGAATCAGCGCAATGAGAGTATCGTTTAAACCTTCTGGGAGATCACCCGTTGCAAAAGCCTCTTTGACGAGATCAAAAATGCTTTCTCCCATTTTGTCCCAGGTGTGTTGATAAAAGTCTGCTTGAAAACCGTCCGGTCCTGGGGCTTTGAATGGTTTCATATCCTTGAGCACAACATGGACCTCTTCTTTTGTGTTCTGTCTGTTGAAAACTGTCCAGTCCACGGCCCTTGGGCGTGGGAAATTTGCAATTATCTGTGCCATTGGCTCCCTGTCTACCTCGGTCGAGAAGAGCTGTATGTAGAAATTTCGAATGTGATCCCAAAGTCCCGTTTCTATTGAAATCCATTCGCCATTTTCGTTCAAAATCCTTTGAACTGAATTTTGAGATTATTAACCGTTGCGGCAGTGTTACGGTCCCCAGAGCTTATCCACTCTTCTCTAGATTTCTGGTACCAAATAAGTTCCTCCTGATGAAGGATATTTTCCAAGTCTTCTCTAAGCTTTCTGTCTAACTTAGCCAGCCCGTTGTGGTAATTCAGAGCCATGACCTTCTGGATTCCATTAAGCCTGGCCATTATGGATCGTTTACGCATATAAACGCAGCCAAAAGAATCCATGTTCCACTTTGCCAGCTTGGTCACTAGGAGCCTCGTGTTCTCAGTGACGTTGAGATTGGGTCTCCAGCATCGTTCTACTAGTCCATGTAGGTCCGAATGTGTTAGCCAAGCAGCTTGGAAAATGAAAGGTGTCGCCCATGTCGCCTTCCGGCTTCCTTGTACCTGGATAAACAAAGGTGCATGATCAAAAGCTATGCGTGCTAGGTGAGTAACACATGTACTAGGGAACCGGGTGCGCCATTCCGTGTTACACATGGCTAGGTCGAGGCGGGCTCCCTTCAGGGTCTCATTAGTCCCATATTTGACCCATGTGAGCTTTGGTCCCGAGAAGCCCAAATCAATGAGACCCTCGTCTTGAGTCCAGTTAACAAAGTCGAAGCTTCGATGTGATGAGAATGAGCTATAATGATTCGTCTCTTCCCTATTCAAAACCGTATTAAAATCCCCGGCTATGAGCCAGGATCCGTGAATACCAAGCTCCGATTGCCGGAGGTCCTTCCATAAACGCTTTCGTAGGTGATGGGTTGGGCTATCATAAACCGGCGCTAAGAACCAAGGTGGCTGATTTCGTTCTATCACCTGCAATAGAATAAATTGGGGGTGAGTTTTAAGAACTGTTATTTGCATCGGGTCTTTCCAGAAAACCCAAATGCCACCACTGAAGTCAACGGCTTCTACCCTGATCCAGTCCGAGAAACCAAGCTTCATGCAAATGGCGTTGGCTTGGGCACCCGAAACTTTGGGTTCAAATAAACCCAAGACACAAGGTCTATGCGTACTGAGAGTGTGCTTAAGGGTGCGAAGGAGCGGCTTGCCACCCGCACCCTGACAGTTCCAAAAGAAGCAATCCATAAAAAACCAGATAAAGGGAGGGACAAAACTAAAAAAACCACAATGTAAAATGAAAAACCACAAGCAGGGGTGCTCACTAAGCTCCCCCGTTACCTCCATTCACATGTTGGGCTGAACCTTCTCCCAGGTCCATGACCACATCGCCCTCATCATCTAAATTGCCTAGTGGGTCGCTGTGGTGTTATTTTGTTTGTTGCCATACCGGTGACGGAGCGTCGCCGCCGGTGTCCCCCATGTACACCCTTGACGATCGTATCACCAGCCCCCCTTTTTCACCTCGGACCACTGTGTGCTCTTCCTCCTTCGCCGCTCGCCTTGAACTCCATCCAACCTCCTGGCGTACTCGGGGCCTAGAGACCTCAGCACTTGACTTTTCTCCCTGCGACACTGCCGGTTAATTAATAATTTGTTTCTCTGATGCTATAACGTTTGGTCTCCGGCTTTTCTCACTCCCTCCATTCGACGAGCGTGTAATCTGACCATTTACCCTTCTAGTTGTAGCATTGGGCTCTGCTGGCACAATCTTTCCCACAACCCCTGCTCCATCTCCATTTCTGGGCAAATCCTTCTCCACTGTCTCTACACTTTCCTCGTAGCCTCCCCGTGGCCAGCCACTGGACGTTGGTTACGGTCGGTTAGAGTCGCCGGTGGTCTGCCACACCGCTTTGGCGCAATAATGCATGTACCAAACGGTATCGTGGGATCCTTTGCTGCATTGATCACCTTATTTTTCATCTGGTTACCCGTCTCTCTCCTTCAACATCGGCCGGTTCCGCACCTCCTTTCGTAGGCGTGGGCATGTCTCTTTTGAATGGCCGTAAACTCCACACACAAAGCAGATCAAATGCATGCCTTCATAGGCTACATGGCGAACCTTCTCTTCATAGGTGAATTTCGATATTAACGGCCTATGCATGTCGATCTCCACACATATCCTGGCAAATTTCCCATGCGACACCAGGCAGGTGGCTTGGTCTACATGTATTGTACGCCCAATACAATTTCCTAGTTTCCTAAGGAAAATAATATCATAATATTCAACAGGAATACAAGGAATACGTACCCAAACGAGAATCTTCTCCGTCGTATCGTTCATAGGATCGAAGTCCGACTCCTAAGGCTTGACTATCAGGTAGTGGTCCAGGACCATCCAGGGGCCTTCGTACATCGCATATTCTAGATCATCAATCGATCCAAATCGCACCAAGTTGTAGTCGTTGTCTAGGGCGATTAGATCTAAACTCCCTTTTGGTTTCCACATGGCCGTCAACTGCATCAGCATGTACGCGCAGCCTACCCTTCTGCCCATTACTTTGACGATCAAAGTTTTCCGCCATGGGGCCCTGATCTTCTCCACCTCCTCCTTGGTCAGTCTTATCCTGGGGAACAGAGGGTCGTCATCTCCCTCCGCCTCTATCTCATCGTGGATGTCCAATGGATTAGAGAGCTCCAATGGCGGATCAGGTACCGGCGTGCTTCTCCCAGTCACGCTCTCTACATAGGTTCGTTACGGCAGTGTTGGCGTTGGCGCTGGAGCGATCGCTAGGGGAGATAGTCCCATCGCGGTGTCTACTGTCGGAGGAGAGGTCCTGCCAGCCTCCCCCATCGCATCGGCCGGGTTTCTAGCACCATCTCCACTTCCTCTATCGTCTGCATCTTCGTGCATTCCTCCGTTGTCTGTCCTCCATCGTCCCGTTTAGATTTCTTCGTGCTACGCTCCAGGAGATCGAGATCTTCTAAAGATCGCTGGTTCGAGAACTTTTCCTCCATCTTTCTTCAGATGTTTGGGACTAAATCATTCATTGATTGAGTGATATATTTGCATCGCATAGTAGCCTATATTGATAGTACTATAAAATTCGTTTTATTAATTATTTGCTTACCAATCTTAAAAATCTGAACAATCTGAACTATATCTTTCTTCAGATGTTTGGGACTAAATCATTTATTG